CAGGGAAGAATCAAGAAGTGCTATTTGATTACAGTGAAGTACTTTGGGTGGCTTTTAGAAAGCAATAGATTATAGCATTACCATGTACTGTGCATAACATCTCTATGCCACTTAGCAAGTACGAGGCCAAAATGAACACTCTAACCTTGAAAATACGTGGTTAAAGTGCTGCCTCCTGGATTGATATACAAAATGGCTAAGTTTAGGGATGCTTCAAATCCTGGTTCCCTGGCGAGCACAAAGGGTTCTATAGCACAGGCCAGAACAGGCTGGGTCGCTGTGCGGGTGACTCAGCAGCTAGTGGCTACCTTCACCGTTTCAGATAAGAGACTCTAAATGTTGTGCGTTGCATTGAGCACAAGTTTGAGTTTGCTGTTCTGAATCATAGAATGCTTTGGGTTGGAAGGCAAGTGTGGGTCCCTAAGTGTGAAGCCCACTGGTGAATGCGTGCCTCTCCTGGTTGGACTTGGGGGCATGGAGCGGCGGCAGCCTCCCCTCTGCTAGGCTCCTAGGCCTGGGACTGATTCCCTGACACCATAAAATCATAGAATGGTAAGGGTTGGAAGGGACCTTAAAGATCATCTGGTTCCAACCCTCCTGCCACGGGCAGAGACATCTTCCACTACACCGGGTTGCTCAGAGCTCCATCCAACCTGGCCTTGAACACTGCCAGGGAGGGGGCAGCCACAGCTTCTCTGGGCTACCTTTGCTGGTGTTTCATCACCCTCATGGTGAAGAATTTCCTCCAAATCAGTGCTCTTTTAGTTTACAGCCATTCCCCCTTGTCCTATCACTAAACACCCTTGTGAAAAGCCCCTCTCCATCCTTCCTGTAGGCCCCTTCAGGTACTGGAAGGCTGCTCTAAGGTGACCCCAGAGCCTTCTCTTCTGCAGGCTGAACAGCCCCATCTCCCTCAGCCTGTCCTCATAGCAGAGGTGCTCCAGCCCTCTGATCATCTTGGTGGCCCTCCTCTGGACCAGCCCCAAAACATCCATGTCCTTCTTATGCTGGGGGCTCCAGGGCTGGATGCAGGACTCCAGGTGGGGTCTCACGAGAGCAGAGCAGAAGGGCAGAATCCCCTCCCTCGACCTGCTGGCCGCGCGACTTTTCATGCAGCCCAGGATAGATACAGTTGGCCTTCTGGGCTGCAAGCACACGTTGCCAGGTCATGTCCAGCTTTTCATCCGCCAGCACCCCCAAGGTCCTTAACCTTAGGAATCCTTAAGCTTGTTCCTGTTGCTATCATCTCTTAACATTTGGGTTTTTATGGTTCCCACTTCCAGAAGCTGATGGCAACTTTAAGGTCTTTGTGTTTGTCCTTAGGCCATCCATGAGCTGTCTGGACTTAATCAGGTCATGGCTTTGGAAGTAGCAGTAATAATAACAACAATAATCTGTTGTCTTTGTTGCTATCTGGAGTGCTGTATACATGCTTCTACAATAATACAGGTCAAAGAGGTTCAGACGGACAACCTGTCCCCAGATTTGTTGGAGTTTAGGTCCACGTTGTGGTGAACTGATGGGCTTAGTCACCTGTTTGATGGACGTCCCTTTCTTTTCAAAGGGTGGATCTGCTCTTGAGTAAGGCTTTGCAAAAACTGGGAAGTGCCACATCGGAGTTCTTGAATTTGGACCATTTCCAGGCCTGACGTCCAGAAACTCTTTCCTATGGGTGGTAAATCTGAAGAGGTAAGCACTTTCAAGTGTCCTGGAGGAAGAGTGCAAGAACAAATCATAGCTGAGTACTTGAAGCTGCTGTTGAACATGCCAGATTTGTCAAGCCTCAGGGTGCCAGGGCTGGCCTGGCTGACACCAGACACTGCTTACAGTCCCCTAGTTTACTAGAATTGTCTCCTTATGTGAAATACACTGCATTGCCTGTGTAGGGAGCGAGGAAGAAAGCAGAATGCCCTGTGTCAAGAGCACTTAGTTTGAAAAGCTCTTGAACTTGCAGTAAGTCAGAAGGTCTGGGGAAACTTATCCAGCCTTTTAATTAGCAGGATGCCAGCTTTTTAGGGTATGTGGCTTTGGCTGCAAGCACTGTTGGGACCGTCTTACAGTAGAGAGGTAGTAATGTGTTTGGGCGTTGGGGTTTTTTGGGCTTTTTTGGAGGTGGGGGGAGGGAAAGCAAATCATGGTATGGCAAATCAGAAGCAGAACTAATTATGCGTGTGTATTTCATTACACCCCTGGGCTGGCTTATTCCTAATCCTGAGAGTCTGCTCATGTTCCTTGATGTGGGAGGCCATGTACACATAAGACCTGTTGACCCTTTAAAAGTGAACCCTAAAGGTACGATCTATGAGGAAGCACTTCTAGAGCTAATATTAATGTAACTGTTGCTGCACTGGAGGTCAGGCAGTCATCTGTTGGAAATGGGTCACTGAAGCTAAACAAATTCACACTGTCTGAGGATCTGACCCATATGTAGATTTCAAACCGAGCGAACAAGTTGTTGAGGGTGCTATTTTTGCATTTACTTTGAATTCGAAACGATGACACAGTCTCAGTTCTTAGTCAGTCAGACTTCCAGTAGCAGTAGATTTTTCTTGAAGGACTTGGGAGAATGACTCAAGGTTGAAAACTGGGACAAACAAGTGGTTTTTTTTCTGTCAAATAGCATCTGCAGCCTTAAACAAATTATCTATTTGTTTGTTATTTTTAAAACTAGCCTGGAAATAAAAGACAGCTGCCTGCTTCTGTTTTCCTGCTTGAGTTCATTTTCCAACCTAGAGCCATGAGATTGGCAAAATTTCCGTTTGGACCCAGGAGAAATTGCTGTTTGGGAAGAGTGGCGGCTGGTGGGAGCAAGGCTGCTTCTCACTTCCATCGAGGCTATAGCTGCAGCCTGGGAGGCGACTGGTGGGAATATGACCTTCTTCTATAGTAGCTAATGTCAGAGGGCTCTATAGCTTCCTCGTCCAGCAGAGAGGAGAATGAAAGAGACAGAGCTGCTGCAACTTCTCATGGTGCCTACAGTGCTGAGTTTCTGGTGGTGATAGATGGCAGTAGTCACTGCACGTGGCAACTGTGTTTACATGCGTTCTGCTCACTAAATCAGCTTCCCCTAAGATTTATTCTGACTTGCTGAACCATCTGAGCAGCTTTCAACTGCTGCCTTTTTTTTTTTAAATGGAAAAGAAAAAACCCGACTTGATTAACTCCTTCCTATCCCTCCCACCTTTCTCTGAGCGTGGAATTTCCCTCCTGTGGTGACACGTAGCTAAAGGGCAGGATTGGCAGCATTCAGAGTGGTACCAGAGGTGTTAAAGGCTTGTGGGCTGCAAATCGCGGGGCTAGAAACTGGAGAAGTTTCCCAGGCTGCTCTTGGAAAAGGGTATTTATGGCTCCATGTGTGGAGACGTGCCTGACAACTACACTGTTGGTATAACTGTTAAGTATTGAGAGAGATGTTAGGAGAGAAAAGATGACTGTAGGCAATGGACTGCCGAGCAGACGGCTCCTTTCCAAAACTGCTGTGCCTGTGTGAGGGAAAGATGTTTGGCCCTGCTGCTCCATGTCCTCTCCCCGGGTGCGGAGTGGGGTCCGCACGGCCACCCAGCTGGCATGAGCACCGAAAGGAGCGCGAGGCTTTTGAATAGCCAGCAAAGGGTGCGAGGTAAAGGGGAACCTCGCAAGGAGCGAAGCCTAAGGCAAAGCTCTCCCTCCAGAGCAAGCCCTGCGCATTCCCTGGTGGGCTGCCTGCTCGCTGTGAGCCCTGCTGCTCCCCTGAGTCTGCGGTGGCGGGGGCTGCTGGCGACAGAACAGAGCGTCTCTTCCTCCGCTGCAGGCTGCGTGTCAGCAGGCTGCTCTGCTCCCAGCATGGCTGCACTGTCAGCGAGTGTGACTGGGTTAATGGAGTGTGTCAAGGGACCGAGGGCAGGGTTTGGCAGTGAGCTACTCACTTGTCAGGCCTGGGGAAGTGGTATGTAACAGCTCAGCTTCTCACACAGAATGAGCCTCTGGCTTGGGGCTGTGGTTTCTATGTTTGTGCGTGTATATGTATACACACACATGCAGAATATGTATTTTTTTATATAATTGAAATGACTTGGATGGCTGGTGGCAACGCTGGGGTTCAGGAATTTGCATTTTGGAAAACAGACAGCCTGGTGGTAACATGAGGTGCAGGAGATGAGCCAGGTCGTGACAGTAAGGGACGGTGCTTTGAACGCAGCACATGAGTGGCAAGTGGGAGAGGGCAGCATCATCTGCTGGCTGGCGCTGATGTCCCTCTGGCAGAAACAGAAGATAAGGGGCTGGAAGGGCCTGAGCAGAACCATTCCTGGGACGTCAGCAGTGTCTGGTGTCGACATTAAGTTGTCTCACTTGTGGCAGTCCCAGCCCTGAAGCTGATGGTGTAACATTTCTTGAAGGGGTCTTGATCCTGAGACCTTTGCTTGCTTCTGACACAGTGAAACAGGCACGTCCTGGGATGAGGGAGTGGTTCATGGAGTTTGGTGGGAAAGGCTCATTCCCATCTTCTGCTGCTTCTAAGTCCTGTTGTCTGCCCTTTTGTCGGAGAAAGGATTAGAGAGGCGTGAGGAAACCTTTCCACCTTTTGCTGAATGACAAAGTAAACAATACTTTGGGAAATTTTTCGCTTCTGGTTTGGGGTGTCATTTTCCTTTGCCAGTCTCAAGGCCGCTCTGAAAAGCCCCTAAAGATCCAACAGAGGGAAATCTTGAAATACCGAGATCTGCTCGGTTCAAGCCATGCTGCTGAAGGGTGAGCTGGGGAGCTGCTAGCTGCACATCACAGAAACCCGGTGGATGCAGAGCTCTGTAAGGTGCCACCTTGCCCTGGTGGGGACCCAGCTGGAGCCCTTCCTGCCTCTGTTTCCTTAGTTGTCCCTGCAGCTGCAGGTTAGGGACATACCGTAGCTCCCCGGTACCCTCTGTGGTGTTCTTGCTGCTGTCTTCCTCCTGCGAAGTGTCTTTGCTTGCCCAGTTAGAACAAGGTATTGGGTTTGCCTCACTCTTCTTCTGTCCTGCAGGCTGGATGCAAAGGAGGAAGCATGGTAAAGGCCGCGTCTTTCCAGGATCCATGGGCTCTTTGAGAGATGATCAGAGGGAGGCCAGATGATCTGCACAACACGCACGCCACTGTTTCTCGTCCGCAAAGGCAGCATCGGAGTGTTCTCCCCAGCCCCGTGCCCCCTGGCTTGCCTGATCGCTTCCGGATGTTTCGCAGCTGTGAGTGGGAGATCCTGGAGCGATCCCTCAGCATCCTCCAGGCCAGCGACTTCTACTGGGGCCCCTTGTCGGTGGGGGAGGCTCACGCCAAGCTCCAGCGGGAGCCCGTCGGCACCTACTTGGTGCGGGACAGCTCGCAGGGGAACTGCTTGTTCAGCCTGAGCGTGCGGATGCCAACGGGGCCCGTCAGCCTTCGCATCTCTTTCCAGGAGGGCTATTTCCGCCTGAAGAACTGGTTTTCGGACTGCGTGGTCCGGCTGCTGGAGCTGGTGGTGGCAGGGACCCGGAACAATCCTTTGCACTTTGATGAGATGGGGGGAATCCCCCTGGTCTTCTCCGAACCCCTGTGCCGGAGCCGCCGGGCAGTGCCCACGCTGCGAGAACTGTGCTGCCGGAGCCTGCCCGCTGGCACCGTGCCAGGGGAC